GAGTGGAGCGCTAGTGGGGGCCGAGACCGCCGATGACTACCGTGACGAAGGCGTCTTCTGAAATCGATCCTCCACATCGAAGAAGCTTGTCGTGCAGCTCGCGGCAGCGACTGATATACGCCATGCCCTTCTCGCCTGGTTTCATTTCGATTGTTGTCAGCTGCGCCATTAACCGGCTTTGGTTTACACTGTCTGTTGCTTGATACAGGTTCTTCACGTGGTTGTCCGCAAGCTCCGCGGAGTTACCGTAACCTCGGTAAGTCCTTATGTTCTGCTGTTGAGTCGGGGTGATGTTCCCCAGTAGTATTGTGTACGCCATCATTGATTGATAGGTAAACTACTGCTTCTCATACTGTGTGCCGTTTGTTGGATATGGCAGGGACCCGTCGAAGAAGCTAAGGATTTGTGCTCCTTCCATCATCAGTTCGAATTCGAACGACCAGGTAAAGAAGTCCTTCCCGTCAAAAGGTTTTGTCGTTTGTAGTTTTAGAACATGCACGAAATGCGACTGAACTTGTAATGCGTCCAGCGCTCTCTCTTGTCCCGGTGCAGGTTGTGGTTGTGGCATGAAGCTGACGGAGCCGCGCTGGGGCTCGTACGGAGCGAAGGTAGGTTGTTGATGTTGATTCCCGCGTGCGTAGGATGAGCCATCGAGACTCATGCGCGTCACGTTGTTGTTGTTGTTGCTGTTGTTTGATTGCGCAGGTACTCCTTGCTGATGCTGTTCGTAGAAGGACATGAAGGAGAAGAATTTCTCCATCATGCTTGGATCGAAGCCCGCGCCTTGGTTTGCGGGTGTTTCGGTAGACCCAGCTGCTGGTCTCGTTGTTGTCCCCTCCTCTGTCAGTAGGCCAGAGGCAGGAGGTGGATGTCAAATATTATAGCCTGTACTGGGTTGGGCTATATGGGGTACAACTAGTTAGGGTTCGGTGATGTACCCCAATTCTGTCAACACAACTCGCCTCCCAGTTAGGCCTAGTTGAGACTGGGTCTAGTTGACTGCTGTAGGGTGCTCTTTGTCTGTTGCTTGCTTGTACCTTGGAGAGCCGTTGGAGGAGCTCCTCTTCTTTCTAGCAGACATGTCTTCTTGATGTATTAAGTGTTGAAGAGAAATTTTTGAACTCTAACCAGCTCTCATACCATGTTGGACTGAGACGCCCTAGGATCTTTTGTACAGTTAAAGTCTGAGTAAACGATGTAATAGCGGAAGCGTATTGAATAATGTACTTGAACCACCTTGCGCTAGTATGTGAGGGCAAAGTAAGTTTATTAAAGTAAAGAGATACAGGAATATATATGAGTACAGAGAATATGAAGAGACATAATTGTAACTACTTTTACTGTTGCGATTCGATACAGTGCGACGCGGGCAACTGCGCAATGTCGAATCAGTTGTGTGTCCTTACTGTCGCGCTGCATTTGTCATGTCAAAGGTCGCTGACCTTTGACTTTCTCGTAACCTCCAGCGGTTACATCAACCTCCAAGGGTTGACTCGCTGGTGCTTAGATTTGAGTTGCTTCGCTTGTGTCTTGAGGTTTCGACAACTTAAGACTATTTGTTCCCAACAACTTTCACAGTTTAAGCTTGTTTGGTCCAGGCAATCTACCTAGGACAGTGCTTCTGGATACAAATGTGTGTGCCTGCCTCGCAATCCTTTCCTCTACTAGAGCTTCTGCCATTATATCAGACCCACTCAGAGCAAACCCACCTGTTGCAAACGTGAGCAAGGAAAGTGATGGACGAACGTGGTTAGACTTAATGATACAAAAACGGGAAAAAACATCAGTGTAGACAATAATGTGCAATCTACCTTGAAGAATGAACAATTTCAGGCTAGCTGCAAAGAAACCATAACAGAGGAGATGTGTACCTTTCGTTGGAGGCAGCAAACCAGCTGCAGCAGCAGAGACAGGCAGAACCCATGGAGGCAAATCATTACCACCCGGTGACCCTGCTCCTGGTGCTCCTGCCACTCCTCCTACTGTTGCCGCTGCTCCTGCCCCTGCTTCCCCAGCTGCTCCTGCTGCCCCTGCAGCTGCTGCAGCAGAATCAGCTACAGCAGCCGCTACAGCCGGAGATAGATGTCTGGGGGGATCCATGGGTGGGAAGCCTATGGGTGCATATGGTGCAGCGTGGGCGGCATCTGACGTGGCATCGGAGATTGTGGGGTGTGGTTTAGATGAAGGGTATGTGTTTGGCGTGAATGGCATGTGCGATGCAGCAGGTGTGTGTGATGCATGTGGTGCATGGGGTGTGTGTGATGCATGTACAGCAAGGGGTGCATGTGATGCATGTGGTGCATGGGGTGTGTGTGGTGCATGTGATGCATGGGGTGCATGTGCAGCATGGGTTGCATGGGGTGCATGGGGAGCAGACGGCATGTGCAGCAGGCTGACTCCTGAGTTCAGCTGGTGTCGAATGGCCTGCAGCTGTGCCATCGCCTGCTGCACCTCCTGCTGCAACTGCGATAAACACATTTGGGGGAAATAAAAGAACTGGGATGGAAGCTGAGGGTAACAAAGACGCTTCAATCAGCGTAACACAGCAGCTGAACCAACGCCTGCTGCCCCTCCTGCTGGAGAAAAAGAGGAGATGACTTTTGAGTTGACCCAAGAGGCAGGAGGTCGAACTTTTTAGTCAACCCAGCGCAATCGCCAGCTGCACCTGCTTCAGAAAAGGAAAGAGATGTCACACCACTTGAAAAGTTGCCACTTGTATAAATCTACAAGAATTCTCAAGTGTTGTACCTCGGATAACTGTGACTGGTCGGCAAAAGAGCTGAATTTGGTTCGGGCAGCATGAACAAATCCCATGGCCCGTCCCGTGAGGCGTCCAGCTGCCCGGGCTATCACAGGGATATCCTTGGGGCCTGACGAAGCAGCAACGCGAGAAACAAGAGACCAAAAATTGGGGGGCGGGGGGAGCGGGGGGGGGGAAGGGGGGGGGAGAAGAAAAAAGAGGAGGGGAATGAAAGGGGTTGAGTGCAGTTGGGAATGTATCAGAACGGAAAGAAATCATCAAAGGGGAGGCGGCTCAGACAGAGGAAATGGGTGAGGCTACGGCCTTGTGGGAAACAGAAGCACATGCATACAGAGGGGTGGGTTGCAGTGCAATGTTAGGGACAGCCAGTCGGGTTGAGGACAGGAGTAAAGTACATGATTACCTATCGTTGAGAGTGGGGTACAAGAGAGGGATGCAGCGACATTATAAGTTTCCTGAGAGAGCAGGAGAGGAATGAGGGATCGAGCCTCTGAGCACAGGACGCTTTTTAGAATTCTCAAAAACTCCCTGCAACGTAGAGGAATGTGGGATCGAGCCTCCGCAGGGTTTTTTTGAGAATTCTCAAAAACACCCTGCAGGAGAGGAATGAGGGATCGAGCCTCTGAGCACAGGACCACGGTAGCAGCGAGGGATCGGGGGAGAGTGGAGGAAGATACGTGGCAGGAATAGGAAGGGAAGGAGCATTGAGAAAGGTCGGAGCACGGAGAAATGGCGGAACGGGTTACCAAAGGCGACGATTCCCAGAAAGACGAGCAGCCCGATTTCGCCATTCGATAGGCCTAGCATCTTCGCCGCCAAGCGCTACTAGACGAGGCGACTATCTATCTAAGGCGAAATCCACCGCAAACTGAGAGGGAACTTTTGCGGCGCCTCAAATGCCATCCAATGGGCCTACTAGCATCGTCGCCGCCAAAGCGCTAGACGAGGCGACTATGTATCTAATGTGAAATCGATCGCCCACTGAGAGGGAAATTCCGTAACGAAAAACCGGGTCGCGGTTGTGATGTCGCGAATGTTTGCGCGCCGACGATCAGCGGGTAGCGCGCTTAGCCACACGTTGCGCGTTTCGTCTGGCCTTTTGAATCTGGGTGACGTGCTGAACGAGTATGCGGATACCGTGGGGCAAATTCGTTGAGGTTCTGGCTCAACTGCTGACGCGCACCGTACATAAATGGCTCGTATCGTGTTGCACCGCGCTAGAAAACAGCATCACCAGTTAACTCCAGAAATTCGTACTGCCGCGGAGCAGCTCCAGTAGAAGTGTGGAGGTTGTGGTCGTTCGAAACACACCATCTTATGGCCGTCAATATGGACCCACGGCACACTCTTTGACAAAGGGTTTGCAAGAGTAGTACTCTAATCGACCTACCACTTATCGATATCAGCCGTGAGTCACACACATAGCGAACTATTCTTTCGCCTTTTACTAAAGAATACCGTGTGTGTTTCTCATCTAGCGGCATACAAGAATTTTTGGAGTGCCTTCTCGGAGGCACCACAATTCAATGTTGAAATGGGAATGTAAATGGAAATACCAACCTAAGAAGCGGGAATCAGAGGGCCGTAGCTGCCTACTATTGGTTGGCTGATCATGTGATCTGCCAACTCAGGACGAACCATGACTGAATAATAAGGAAAAGAAGGTTGAAAATGGCTATATCATTGCCTCGTTAGCAGCAGCATATCAGAAGTAGCCTAAATTTATGGTAGTGCACGATCACTTCAGTTTGTTCTTTTACCTAGTCTAAAATTAACATCCTCCATTATGGCTCTATTCCTAGCCTGCACCTTTGCAGCTATGCCAGGTGTTGCTTCCAGCAACACAGCACGGCCGACAGCCATCACTGCCAGAGCAGCAGCAAAGCCTGCTACATACCGGGCAGTGCGGGCAGGGCGGTAATTTATCACTGCCCTGATCTCATCCCAGCTGGCTGGGTGATGCGACATGTGAAATCAAAAGACGTGGTGGACCCAAATAAGGCCTGCAAACACACGAACGGGTCGCACAGGGCGAGAGCAACATTAGTGGGTAAAAACGAGGGGAGCAACAGAGGGTGGGAGCAACAGATGGTCAGAGCAGTAAAGGGTGAGACATACTTTCGTGAAAAGGAACACCGGTGAAAAGAATGCCCTGTGAGGGAAATGAATGTGGAAAGAATGCAGCCCTGTGTGGTCCGAAACGGTGGAAGGGCAGAGAATGGGAGCAGTGGAATGGGGAATGCGGAGCAGTGGAGCGGGGAATGAGGGCAGTGGAATGGGGAATGGGAGCTGTGGAGTGGGGAATGAGAGCAGTGGAATGGGGAAGGCAGTGGAGCGGGGAATGAGGGCAGTGGAGTGGGGAATGAGGGCAGTGGAGTGGGGAATGAGGGCAGTGGAGTGGGGAAGGCAGTGGAATGGAGAATGGGAGCTGTGGAGTGTGGAGTGGGAACCGTTGGAGTAGTAGGAGGGTGAGACGCGAGGCAGAGGAAGGAGAGAGCGATGCCTGTGTGGCCAGAGAGGGAGGAAGAGCGGGAAGGGCGGTGGGGGCGGGGGGGAGCTGGGGGGAAAGGGCGGAAAGGAGGGTGGAGGCCAAGAGGGGGAAGGGGGGACGGGTGAGGGCGAAGGGCGAAGAGCGAATCACACCTAATTGACGGGGCGAGGCGACGAATGATGGATGGACGGACGAAAAGTTCGGAAAGCTTCTTTTAATGGGTTCGCGTCGCCGGAACAAGCGGCGCTGAAACTGGATTTCCGAATTGGATTCGCCGCCTTCAATAAGATGCCAAAAGCAAAGCAATCCCCTCTGTTGATCGTTGCAAGACCGCGATTTGCGGACAGATTCCGAACGAGCTAACGGATTTGCGACTACCGAGAAAGCTTATACGGAGATACGAAACGGTACGACTACGTAGTGCGAAGAAGAGGCTGTAGAAGCAAACAAGGACGGGACACTAGAAGGTGCATGTGAGCCAGGGCCGTTCGTTTTGTGCCAGGACGCTTCTCATCGGACTGAGGGTACTGTACCATCTGACGTGTTACGATTCACGAATCTTAGGGTTGCTTTCAAAAGAGAGGGTTGCGCCACGACTTGTCGTCACTGATATGTGTTGCTAGAATCCGCGGTACCAGCGGTGCACACAACAGATAGCACCACGGAAAAAGCTGGAGAGAAACGAGTACAGAGATTCGTTATTAGCTGTGAGTCCCTTCGGCATACAACAATCTTTGGAGTATCCAAGGCACAAAGAAGTGTCGTAAAATTCACAATCATTGATTTGTTGGCCTACCAAATTTAACGAAGTTGTATGCTCTGTGGCGATTCCTCGTCGACGTCGCTCGCACTACAGCATGTTTCGCAACGTGATGACGTTGGCACAAAATCCACACGTCATCCACTGTGGAGGATGCATTTTGCTGCCTTACACCTGATGCCCGTTTGAGTCCCCCGTACTTGGGCTGTGCTTTGGGCTCTTAAACGTTCTAGGCGTTTCGCCTGGTTCGTTTCGTTTCGCCAGGGTGTTGAGGTGCTTCTAAAAAACACAGGTTGTAACGCGTTTGTTTTTTCCAAAACAAAGCTGGTGGGCCTGTGTTGTTGTCAGTCCAGGGTTTCGGGTTTATGCTTGTTTCTGACCAAGAAACAAGAACCTACCGGGTCAGCGTGGTTTGTTTTGCGCCTAAGATTCATACTTTGGCGTTTCCTCGCCCAAATGCAAGTTGATCCGCGTGCCTATAACCTGGGTGCAGCTGAGTGGGAAAAAAAACACGGGTGCAGAGTTTCTGAATGTACAAGGCAAATTCGCGCGCAGTGGCTGGGCATCATGTGTACTGTGGTTGAATACATTCCGTCTGAATGTGCCCAGCATTCGAAGTTCAACATGAGTTGTGCACGGTTTCGTACGACGCAGAGCGTTGACATGCGCTGCAGTACGGTGAATGTTCACAGCCCAGCATATGAAGCATCCGAGTTCCCAAGACAAGCTAGCGTGTGGTTGTCATCTTCAACAGATGCGTCCTCCTTTCTCCGCATTTCCAGCCAGCTGTTTTCTGGGACAGGTGGAAAAGACCTTCCCTTCACCTCCCCCTCACGCACACCTTGCGCGAATCACGCTTCTACAGACTACTACTGTAGTACAACCTGTCGCCAACGGAGCTCTGGGAGGTTTGTGATTAGAAACCACCTGACTGCCACCTGAGGTTTTGCCTGATTGTCACCTGACCGCATACTCCTCCATCCAATCACAGACCTAAAATGGCGGCTCGGGTTCTTTCTCACCATATTAGCTGGCCATCGCTCATTGACCTACCTTCGCGACCTGCTAGAATTCGCAGCTCCGCAGCAGACCCTCCTGATCGAACGTACCCTTCGCAACCTACATCTAGAGTCTCTCGCGCGCTATCGTTTCCCAACTCCAACACGCCCGACGAGACGATTTTTTAGGTGTCTCAAAAGTAGACTTTCGCGCGCCGTCGCGTCTAGCTACTACCTCTGAAACAGCTGACTTCGCCACAGAGCTGCGTTATCTCGGGCCTCCTCGCGACATAGTTAACGACATCAATAATCCGTGTCGCTCACGGCTGCTGCCAGCCCGAGCCTGTTCATTTCCAATACACTGCGTAAAATTGCGTCATCCAGTTTGTTTCTCTCTGAATTTCGCGAAACTCGCGTGACTTTCGCTTCTCCTTCGCCGGCTCTATCTCGCCATGATGGCCGCGGCACGCGGCGCGCGTCCGCATAGGGTACCTCTCTCGCTGCTCGTCTATCTCTCCGTCGCGCTCGCGCTCTCTCACCGCGCCCTCGCTTTCACGTCCTCAGGTATGTCGATGCAATAGAGACGCCATACTAGCAGCGCAGCTTTTGTGGGTGTGCTCTCAACGGTTTGATGTCCTTCCCATCCGTGTATTTGAAAGTCCCCCTTCTTTCCTTCCTCCCCTTCTTTCTCTCCCGCTTCCCCCCCACCCAACCTTCTTCCGGTCCTCTTCCCCGTCTTCTCTCCCCCCCCCACCCTCCTCTCTCCCCGACCTCCTCACTCCCCCGCCTCCTCTCTCCCCCGCCGCCTCTCCCCCGCCTCCTTTCTCTCGCCTTCTCTCCCCCGCCTCCTCTCTCCCGCCACCTCCGCCACCTCTCTCTCGCCTTCTCTTCCCCGCCTCCTCGCGCCCGCCTCTCCCCCGCCTTCTCTCTCCACAGACGTACTCAACTACCGCGGGCTCGTCTGGCGCCTCCTGGACCAATGGCCGTCCTCGGCGCGTCCACGTCAGCAATCGCCTGACCTAACGGCGATATCGTCATCTTCCGCGTCTCTGTTCGCTTCGGGGAATGAGACGTGGGGGGAGACTTCCGAGACGTCTCAAGGTTCCGCGAATGCGACGTGGGATTCCTATGAACCATCTCAAGATGCGGCTCGTACAACATGGGCGACGCGGGACGGTTCGGAAATGACGATGGGGGAGTCAACCGGCGGCGAACACGCTACGACGTCGGATGCGGAGGGAGCGGCATCGGGCCGCGCCGAAGCCGCTGCTGTTGGGATGAGCCATGGGTGGAGGAAATGGAGGGGACACGTGGTGCGCGAGGAGAGGCCGTTGGGGCAGCGCAGGCAGATGGGTGAGTGCCGCAGAATTTGAGTTGTCGTATGTGAAAAATGCTTCCTCTGCTCACTCACCCGCTTTAGCCTGGAAATGATTTCTGCATATTGTGCCTGAAGCCTATCTTCAATACCCAGTTCCTCTCATGTTCCTCCGTTGTTGTGTCTCCTCCCTTCCTTGCATTCCGTCAGCTGATTCGTGGCTGGATGGTCCCTGCTCCGACTACGTAAAAGCGCCCGTCATCAGTATATCTTCTCTCGCGGATTTCAACAAGCGACTGGACTACGGTCCCGTTACAACGGTCATCCTCGAACTACAGAGAAACCTCGTTATAAGCAAGGGAATCCTCTTCGACAGCAAGTTCTCCTGCACGATTCTGCGATCCGCGAAGACCGCCGCGAACCCGTTTCAAATCACACACATGGGAGCTAATGAACCGGTGCTGCGTATATGGAACACAAGCAACGTGCTTGTATTGAAGGTCGATTTTAGGCTCAGCGTTCGCTCCTCCTCCCCAACCTGCACGACTGTTCCCGAAATTACGGCCAAGGCGCAGTGCCCGACGATTTCCGTTATCCGTTCGTACGGAATTCAAATCGCGAAGGGGAGTGTTTTCGGGAGAATCGATCTACACCGCTCGGCGTCGTCTCGAGTGGACTCCATGCGTGTAACGGGGATTCCGACATTCAACCAGTCGCCTGGCGTGATTCAAGTGACGTACAGTGGCCACGGGCCTACACTCGCGAAATCCTTCATTGCTATAACAAACAATGAAGTGTATGGTGAGTAAAACTTCACACTTCCCGTTTTGCTCCATTAGGCCTAGCATTTGCATCTTCTCCTTGTGGCACTGTCGGCGCCATCGTGCGCAACAACTAAGTGCATGACTTCATATTCACGGGTATCCCATCCTCACCTCTCCTCTCTTGCTCTCCCGTCGTCCCCCTCCACTCCGTTTCAGGCGTGAACACGCCCATTGTCGTCCACAGGGGATCCGTCGGCGTTATCGTGAGAAACAACTACGTGCACGACTTCATATTCGCGGGTATCCGCTGCGGATCCGACGTGCATTTCGCGGGCGACTGCATGCTCACGCAGATCGACCGCAACCTGGTGGTTGCATCGGGAAGAAACAGATCAGGAGACCAGGATGCAGCGGGGATTTACTACTGCGTCCACTGGTTCAGCCCTGGTGAGTCGTGAAATCTGGTTCAGTGCCGGTACAGCGTGTACCGACCCAATGGAGACTGCATGCTCACGCAGATCGACCGCAACCTGGTGGTTGCATCGGGAAGAAACAGATCAGGAGACCAGGATGCAGCGGGGATTTACTACAGCATCCACTGGTTCAGCCCTGGTGAGTCGTGAAATCTGGTTCAGTGCCGGTACAGCATGTACCGACCCAATGAAGACAGCATGCTCACTCAGATCGACTGCAACCTGGTCTTGGCCTCTGGGAGAAACCGGAGTGGGGATCAGGATGCTGCTGGGATCTACTACTGTGTGCACTGGTTCAGCTCTGGTGAGTTTTGGTTCGGCTCCGGTGAAGCTTGGTTTGGCCCCGGTGAGCCCTGGTCTGATAAGGAGATTGAGGTGACAGGCAAAGAGTGCACGCTCACGCAGATCGGCCGCAACCTCATGGTCTAGTTTTGAGCGTATGTTTTTGAGAATTCTCAAAAACAATACCCTAAATAATGCATGCTCACGCAGATTGACCACAACCTCGTGGTGGCGTCCGGAAAGAGCCGCCCTGCTACTACCTCCTTATAAACTCCCTGCTAAACGCCCTGCCCTCTCCTACCCCCCTGCTGCAGACAACACGGCGGAGTGCAATTATGTGTTCAATGAGGACCAGTGCTACAACCTTGGTGCCTGAGGTTTTTCTCTAACGAGCTCGGAGCTCCCTGCTTTTCCCCCTGCCTTACGCTATCCCTTTGCAGATAACACAGCGGAGTGCAGCTACGTGTTCAACGTGGACCATTGCTACTACCTCGATTTCGTAACACCCTATTCCCTCCTCCCCTTCCCCTTCCCCTTCCCCTTCCCCTTCCCCTTCCCCTTCCCATTCCCCTCTGCTTTTTCCCCTCCGCCCTAACAGACAACACAGCAGAGTGTAACTACGTGTTCAACGGGGACCACTGTTACTACCTCGATTTCGTGACATCTGGAGTGGCGATCAAGGGAGGTGCCTGCATCAACACATACGATGGCATCAAAGTCAACAATGGAAAATGGTATGCTTGCTGCTTTTCCTTTTCAACGTACTAGTTCTCCTTACTTCTTTCCCTCTCCTGTGCCCTCCCCGCCCCTTCCCCCAACCCCCCTTGCCCATCTCCACCCTATCCTCCTCCTCCTCCTCCTCCTATTTTTCTCCTCTTTATATTTTTTGGCCACCTCCAAGGGGTCTTACTTGTACCATTTTTTTTATCCCCCACCCCTCCGTTCAAACCTTCAGGAACAGGGCAGAGGATGTGATTATAAAGAAGGTTACGGGGTCCCCGGGGTGGAGTGCGTGTCTGACTCCTCTGGTGCTCAACTGCAACAAGAACCCCGGCACGTACTGGGAGCTCATGAGGAAACAATACTACGATACGCCAGTCTTTAAAGAGGTAATGATGATCAATAGCCTGGGTCACATTGAGGCACGTACTGGGAGCTGATGAGAAAACAGTACTACGATACGCCGGTGTTCAAAGAGGAGAGGAGCGGTAGGTAAGGATCAAGAGGTAAGGATCATTGACCGCTACTGTAGCATCGAGGCACATTCTGGGAGCTCAAGATGAAACAGTACTACGATACACCGGTGTAGAGAGCGCCTGAATTAGCACCTGAAAATCTATCCGAGAAGCACCGGAGGAGTGAGAGTGAGGGTAGGAGTGAGAGTGAGGGTAGGATTGTGAGAGTGAGGATAGGTAAAGATATTGCCAGTACCAACTGTGCATTAAGCATTCCAAATATTGGCAGGGTCTTTTTGCGAAGTAACTTTTTATGCAACTGACTTGCTTGATGTGAGGAGCGTTATGTGAGAAAACACATCCCCCCTTGCACATAATAATATGTTTCCGTCCCCTTGCACACCCAAACCTTCCCTTTCTCTCTGTTGACCTACCCCCATATGCATGCCCCTTTCCAGAAATACCCTTTCTGGCCGGACGTTTGCGGACAAAAAACCGTCAACGGCAAGCCGTGCAACGTCAAGAGAAGAGGCACTCTGCCAGCCGAAAAAACCGGAGCATGCAGCGGCCTTCCTACTGAAAACACCCTAAATGTCGTCTTGGTTGACACAGAAGGAAGGGACGTTGGGTACAAGTACTGCGAGGTTTTACCAGCTGTGGAGGAGGGACCACTGAACGACCAGCGACAGGTAAATATCACAAATATACCAGCTGCAAGGTTTTTGGATTACGCGAACGACGATCTGGGGGTGAACACGGGATCGTCGCTGTACAGCAGCATAAAAGATTTCAAGAGCTGCCCGAGAAAAGACGTGGGGCCGCGGCGGATCGACGACGCATTTTATTTTCTGAATTTCAACCGACCAGAGCCGGAGGTGCATAAGGTGGTGGTGGCGATGAGCATCAAGCACGTGCATGACACTGCTATCGTGAAGCTGAGTAAGCTACCGAAAAAGAAAGGGAAGTAGACAAGAAAGCTTGTCCTGAAACAGAGTGTGAAGTAGAGCCTCTGGTGGTGTAGATGAGAAAGCACTACATTGTCACATGGATATTGAATTGTGAAGCTGTGTATTGTGAAGCTGTGTATTGTGAAGATGTGTATTGTGAAGATGTGTATTGTAAAGCTGTGTATTGTGAAGCTGAGCAATCTGCAGAAAAAGAAACAAGTCTAGACAAATTTCTCGGCTGACTTTTTTACTCCTGATGGGAATCGCCTGGTGATGTGAAATGTTACGTTGTGGCATGTGTCGGGTCGTGCTCATTTTTGGTTCAAGTCAGTACTTCCAATCCAACGACAGTACCGTACTTACCAATGGTATGCCCCATTTGTAGCCTTCCAAGGTGGGGATGAGTGATGAGCAGAAATGGATTGTGCTGATGAGTGAGACCCCTGCCATATGATCACTGCAGGACTGAATGAAAATGGGTCTAGCAGAAAATAACCTCTAAATTGATGTGCATAATGTGGTATTCGAAGGCAAATGGGAGTACTGACCATAATGTACGCATCTGAAGCCATGTAGTGCTCAAAGGCTGCTGATGTCAACTGCGATTGAGATTTATTCTTCCTTTGTTCATGTTAGACATTGAGAAAGCTTGCTTTCTGTTCTTGTAAAGGCAACGGGCTTCATTACAATTGCAGTAATACAACATTCTCGTCCAACTATGGATGGATTATACAGATATACAACTAGGGTGGGTGGGTGGGGAGTGGAACTGCAAAGTTCCGAAATGAAGTCGTGGGTGGAGGCCGAATGGCCTCCAACCCTCGTTATGTACTCGGCGAATTGTCATTCGCCGTTGCTTTGCTTCGTGACAGTCAGCTGCGCTTTCAAACTACGCATTTTTAGAAAGTGTTACACACTTTCGAAAAATTTCATGATTATTGCATTGCTGATGACACAGCAGAATTGCACCAGACCAGATTTATGTTGTGTACTAAAAGAGCAAATAACCAAGGAAGAAAAACTTCTGAAGCTCGGAATTCTACACTGTCCAGGCCGCTTACCTTTCTTTAGAGGGAGCAAACCAGCTGCAGCAGCAGAGACGGGCAGCACCCATGGAGGCAAATCATTGCCACCCGGTGACCCTGCTCCTGGTGCGCTTGCCACTCCTACTACTGCTGCCGCTGCTCCTGCCCCTGCTTCGCCTACTGCTCCTGCTGCCCCTGCAGCTGCTGCAGCGGATTCAGCTACAGCAGCCGCTACAGCGGGAGACTTGTGTCTGGAATAGTCTACGGGTGGGAAGTCCATGGGTGCATGCAAGTGGTGTAGTGTGGAGGGCATCTGACATGGCACTGGTAGTTGTGAAGTGCGGCGTGGGTGAGAGTTACATGCAGGGGGAAAAGTATGGTATGGATGGATGACATGTGGGAAAAATTAGGCGTGTGTGATGCATGGGGTGCATGTGGCGCATGGGGAGCTTGTTATGTATGTACAGCAAAGGGTGCGTGGGCAGCATGTGTGGCATGGGGTGCATGGGGGGCAGGTGATGCGTGGGGTGCATGGGCAGCATGTGATGCATGGGGAGCATGGGGAGCAGGTGGCATGTGCAGCATGTGCAGCATCGGGTGCACGTGGAGCAGGTGGCATGTGCAGCAGGCTGACTCCCGAGTTCAGCTGATGCCGGATGGCCTGCAGCTGTGCCATCGCCTGCTGCACCTCCTGCTGCAACTGTTATCAGGCAGCCGGGAAAAGAAATGCAAACAGGAAAAGAGAGGAGAGAGGGAGGGGGAAAAACACATTTCAGTCACTGTACCATTGCACGTTGGCCGTTGCCTGCTGCATCTCCTGCTGCAAGTCCAATAACAAAGCCCGAACAAGTTTCAGTGGGAAAAGGGAAGAAGGAGAAGGGAGGGGAGCAGGGGCGCACACACGTTTCAGTCAGCATGGCACTGCAGCTCGACAGGGGGGGGAAATGGAAATGGGGGAGGGCAGTTTGGAAGGGCACAAACAAGCGCGTTACAATCAGTGTCGCATGCCAGCTGTACAGTCGCCCGCTGTAGCTCCTGCTGCAACTACAGCCCAACAACCGGGAAAAAAGTCTGGTTTTGAGGTGCCTCAAAACTAGGCGTTACAATCAGTGTCGCATGCCAGCAGTACAGTCGCCCGCTGTAGCTCCTGCTGTAACTGCAGCCCAACAGCCGGGGAAACAAAAGGGAAAGGAAAAACAATTTGGCACAGATGTGTTACCGTCAGTACACAAGAGCTTCGTGATCACGTGATCACCTGGGTCAAAGTGTAAACTCCTGCTGGGGCTTCTGCTGGGGCTTCTGCTGCGGCTTCTGCTGGAGAAAAGGACGGGACATCACACTTCTGAGTCGACTACGAGGCATTTGAGTCGACTCAAGGGTCAAAGTGTACACTTCTGCTGGGGCTTCTGTTGGGGCTTCTGTTGGGGCTTCTGTTGGGGCTTCTGTTGGGGCTTCTGCTGGAGAAAAGGACATCACACTTCTGAGTTGACTCAAAAGAAACTGCCTGCTGCACTTGCAGCAGAAAGAAGCAGGACGGAAACGCCACACCTGGGGCAGTTCCGTAGTTAGTGAGCTTCTGGGTAATAATATTGCAGCGGCGTACCTCAGATCCGTACCTCAGATAGTTTGCTTCTGGTCCGCGAACGAACCGAATGTTGTTTTGGCAGCATGAATGAATCCCATGGCCCGTCCCGTGAGGCGTCCAGCTGCCCGAGCTATCACGGGGACATCCTTGGGGCCTGACCGGGCAGCAACGCGAGAAACAGAAGACCCAGAAAAGGAAAATCAAGAAAAGGGAGAATGGAACGAAATTATCGAGCCGAGACGCCTCAAAAGGAGGCGAAGTGTGAGGATGCGGCCTTGTTGGGGAAACAGAAGAAAATGCAGAGTACAGAATGGGTGGATTGAATGTGATGTTATTTTGAGGCGCTTCAAGAATGGGTGGATTGAATGTGATGTTATTTTTGAGGCGCCTCAAGAATGGGTGGATTGAATGTGATGTTACGGACAGCTAGTTGAGGGGACAGGAGTGAGGAAGTTAGAGAGTGAGGGATTGGGGACCGTCTAACCTGAGAATAAAGCACAAGAAAGGGAAGGGGCAACAGTCGATGCTCTCTCAGAAGCTGGGAGAGGAGTGAGGGAGCTGATCGTCCAACCTGAGGCACAAGACAGGGAAGGGGCGGCATTCAATGTTCTCTCAGAGAGCGGCGAGAGGAGTAAGGGAGCGATCCTCTAAGCACAGGAGCAAGGGAGCAGCGAAGGAAGGGAGGATAGTGGAGGGAGAATACGTGCGAGGGATGGGAAGGGACGGAGCACGGATATCTTTTCCCCGATTGTTTTTGGGATAAAGGGATGGAAGACGGAGCACGGAGAAGGGATGGGATGGAAGTGGAACGAGTTGCCCGATGCGACGATTCCCAGAAAGACGAGAAGTCCAATTTCGCCATTCGATAGGCCAAGCATCGTCGCCAATCTCTTGGCGAAGCGACTCTCTAATGTGAAATCGACCGTGAAGAAAGTAGTGTTTTGAGACGTCTCAAACGCTTTACGTGGTCAAACGTGGCCTCGTTTTGAGACTTTCTTCACGTCGCCAATCGCTTGGCGAGGCGACTCTCTAATGCGAAATCGGCCCGCCCGCTGGAAGGAGATTTCGTGAGGAAGGAAACGAGGATGCGGATCGCAGGTTTGATATCGCATATTGTCGCACTTCGACGCGCTTATCGCGATACTAAACTAGCCCGTTGTTGCTTATGAGTTGGGAGGGACGGCTCGTGAGCGTGCTGAACCGAACAAGAACACGAAACGCCACGTGATGTCTTCTTCCCACAAAGCAGTCTCTACCAGACGGTTTTTGATAGAAGCACTCAGATCTAGCTGCCGGTGATTCGATATCAGCCGTGAGTCACACACATAGCGAATTATTCTTTCGCCTTTTACTAAAGAATACCGTGTGTGTTTCTCATCAAGCGGCATACAATAATTTTTGGAGTGCCTTTTTGGAGGCACCGTAATTCAATTATAAATTGGGATATCGAGAGGCAAGACAGAGCCAAATCAAAATAAAAAAATATTTTAGGATGGCTAGCTGTAGCCCGACGAATTATGCAGTAAAATCAGGTGTTGGTTGTGATGGAACAATGAGGAAAACAGTTACGAAGTGAACATTTCTGACCACCTGTTTGCAGCACCACCAAGAATAGCACTAATAGCCTTCTGAATATTAACATACGGTGCACATCAGTTTGTTCTTTTACCTAGTCGAAAGTTAAAGCCAGCGGCTAAAATAGTGACCCCCCCCTTCTAGTTGGGTCCACCAGAAAATTGAAGTACTGTTTTGTATTTTTTTTCCAGCCCCATATGATCCTGATCGAGTCTCCAAATTTCTTCTCAAACAAATATCATCGCAAGCATGTGCAAATGCGTCACTTCAAGGTTTGTGACGTGCGAATCTCAATTACATTCATCAGTGCCAAATTCACATCGTGAAGCATGTCCAATTCGTGCAAAGCAAGTCCAAATCACGCAAAGCAAGTCCAAATCACGCAAAGCTAAGACCTTAGACATGGGCCTGCTAGTGCGGCAATAACATGTGAAAAACAAGAGGCGTATAACAAAGAATTTCTCGAGAAGAGATTCATAGCGCAATAGAAACGAGGACGCGAGAGGAGAGATGCGTGAGAAAAGACCGCGAAATGCTAGGGGAGATAGCAAGGACAACGGAAAGGGAGGGGAGAGAACGAGGGCGACGGAAAGGGAGAAGAGAGAACGAGGGCGACGGAAAGGGAGGGGAGAGAGCGAGGGCGACGGGAAAGGAGGGGAGAGAACGAGGGCGGCGGAAAGGGAGGGGGGAGAGCAAGGGCAACAGAAAGGGAGGGGAGAGAACGAGGGTGACGGAAAGGGATGGGAGAGAGCGAGGGCGGCGGAAAGGGAGGGGAGAGAGCGAGGGCGACGGAAAAGGAGGGAAGAGAACGAGGGCGACGGAAAGGGAGGGGGGAGAGCGAGGGGCGGAAAGGGAGGGGAGAGAACGAGGGCGACGGAAAGGGATGAGAGAGAGCAAGGGCAACGGAAAGGGAGGGGAGAGAATGAGGGCGACGGAAAGGGATGGGAGAGAGCGAGGGCGACGGAAAGGGAGGGAAGAGAGCGAGGGCGACGGAAAGAGAGGGGGGAGAGCGAGGGCACGGAATCAAGGACCTGAAGAGGAATCGACGGGACATCGCGAAATTGGGAAGTGCGGAAAGTAACCCTGAATACACTCTTGCACAACTTACCCGATAGTACACCCCCGGCACTTTTGAGTCAAGGTTTTAGAACTGCGTGGCGACAGTCACTGGCGTAGTAACTTCCGAGTCACTTTCCCGCGCCTTTCTGCACAAACTCAGTCAACCGTTTAGCAACGCCACCCGCATCTGCGCACATGCTAAACAGTCACGGGCTGCTCCACCCAAATGTTCACCTGCCCATACCGTGTCAACCAACTCGAAAGCGACGAGCACGTAACCCCAACTGCCAATCCGTACGGGCTTCCCCACGTGGCATACTGTTTCAACTCCCACGTCCACGTAAGCGTACATGCAGCAAAACGTACAGCAACCACAACCGTTGGATGGACACCCTGGTCACGCAATCACTACGGTACACGTGTCGCCTGTACATAAACTCGCATAGCACGTTACGCATTCGCGCACACAAACTCGCACATCCTTGCAAGCTCACCGCGCTCCGATCTGCACCGTACATCTGGTGGTCAAGCATCCTTCCCACACCGTACATTTGGATGCATCCCATAGGGCAGCAAACCGCATATCACGCCAACGGTAGCCACTACCCCTCATCCACGCGGCCTCACTCCACTTGCGCATCGTGCGTCCGCACCAGACGCGCCAATGCATAAACACCGTACACCTGAACCAATGCCACCGTTTCGTGCACTTCGCGAAAAGTCTCGCCTACCATTAGGGTTGCGCTCGCAACTAGATGACGACGACACCTGCGTCGTCCATCTGTATACATCGTAAACACCACCGACCTTCCACGTCACGCACAATTAATCCATCTTACCCGTACACTTGCAACCCGATCATGCTATCGCACAAACGGTAACCGGTTGCCCTACCCATCGTGGCTCACGTTTGCGACGTATGCGCGAACCACTCACAACCGTGCATTTGTCGCACCCGTATAGCATATCACAGCGCACATCCCACCGTCGGCCTCATCTTCACGCTCGTCCACGATTGTGACACGGGTGTACAAGCGCGTGCCACCCTCCCATACCATTGGCTCCACGTCATCCCTTAGCCTTGTTGCGGTCCAACCAGATGTCCACTTACGCGCACCGCTGCGTCCTTTACGTCCAACGTACAGGTGACACATGGCACACACCGTAAAATTCGCCGCAGAATGCGGCGCATCCCTCTCCGTCCCGCACATCTGGGCGACGGCGGGTTCGCTGTGGCATGCACCATATAGTTTCTGTTATGTGCTGTCATATGCGAGCAATACCCCAATTGAAGCTTTTCCCATTAACAACAAACGGACACACAAACATACAACGCCTCCACGCCTATGTCTAACCCCCCCACATCTTCAACACTGACACATGCTTAACCCAGGTGCGCGTTCCACAGCTACACATAACCCTGTCACACAGCCGCAAATCATCGTACACACGCAGCCAATCTACTGTCCCCGCAACGGTAAAACCCACGCTTCCCCCATCCCCTCCACGCCAGCCGTCCTACTCATCCCCCACGGATGCCGAAAGGTCGTCGTCCCCCACTGGCTCCTCCGGCTGGGCTGCGCCGGCGGGCCTCATGTGCTCCAGGCCGCACGCAGAGATGCGCAGACCATGGCGCCCCCAGATCCACGCCTCCCGCTCCGCGTCATACTCCGGGTTGCGGATCCTGATCGCCCTCTCCACGGCCTCCTTAACCAGGACCTTGAGGCCGTCCACAACGTGGGCGTTTCCGCCGGCCGAGTTGGAAAGCCGGCCTTTCCTCTGCTCCCAGTAGAGGACGCAGTCGGAGACCTGCGCCATCACGCATCGTGTCACTCAAATGGTCCGACGTAAACAACACAGATGCATGGCACACATAGAGCGCACAGACTCACCACATGCTCCAACCAGGCCAGGTGGTACACCTTCAGCGTCATCACCAGGCCGGCCTTCTTGGGCCTGAATGCAGCCTTCGCACATGTCGCGAACGCCCGAGAGGCGAACGGCATGCCATCCCGGTCTGTCGCCCATGTCGTGAGCACCAGTGTTTCTGCATTCCCACGTGCATGCAGGTCAGTGTCAACGGCCGTCACGCACGAGGGTGACAGCATAACGATGCGGTGGCAAGCCTGGTTGCTGGGGTAGACCGCACTCACCAGGGGGGTCAGCGCCGAACCCAATGCGCTCCCGGATCTTCTCAATACTGCGTTCCTTCTCCGGTGCCCATGGGCTGGATGCGTCCCGATCGTCGCGGAACAAGCCGAGCTTGGGAAGTGCAATGTCGCGCACGCGGGCGGCAGCCCGCGTCTTCCACTCAGAGAGTGTCTTGTTGAGATCAGCGCGACGCGACTTGTCAGCCGCCAACGCCAAACAGGCGAAGCTATGCGGCAGGCGGTCCAGCACCGCACACACCCCGTGTGTCTTGTCGTCGCTGCTCGGGTAGAAGGTCATCATCGACGTCGGCCTGTTGAGAAACATGTGCACCCTGGCCAGCTCGCACACCCGCTGCGCACATAAGGTATACACAACAACATGAGTGGCGCACACCGGTATGCATGACGGTTGAATAATGGAACCGGACGGGAACGGGCCCGCTCACCTTCCACGCCTTGTCCGCAGGCAAATGCTCCAAGGCGCGCTGCAGAATAGGAGACCTGGCCGTGCGCATATGACGGCCACCAGATCCATGTGTGTCGTCATCGTCGTCCTCGCCGTCATCGTCTGACCCGCCACTCCACGTCTCGCCACGCTTACGCTTCGGGTTCATACAACCCTGCCCCGGGTCTCTCTGCCTGGTCGCCTTACGCTTATGAGAGCCACTGGACGGCCGAGACATCGCATTCAAGAACAGCGCCTCCAACCGCGCGTTCTCCTTGGCGCTCTTGTCCTGAGCCTGAATGAGTTGCTCGAGGATACGGCTCGGTATGCGCACGTCATCGCTGTTGGCGTCCACTGTGTCCCAGCGTGTGGGTCCCACCAGTCCGTCCACGTCGTGATTAGCGCGAGTGTCAGCGTTGGCCGCGGATGGTCCCGCACGCCCATCGTCGTCCGTCTTCCCCCCCTTAGCGGGCTCGGCTGATTCTTCGCCTGATCCTGATGCCGACGTGTCTCCGCCTTCCTCGTCCTCATCCTCGCTGCGCTCGGACGAATCTGCACTCTCCGCCCCAGTGCCGTCATCTGTGGGTGACAAAATGACAACAGGCGCACAGAACCGCAAGTTAGCATACGCGCGCAACAACCGCCGCGAACGTCGTGACTGATCCACTCATGATCGTAATGCATACCTTCCTCTGGCTGCACCACCTCCTTCCCCTTCTTGCGGAAGCTCAGGCTCTTGGGTAAGGGCGCCCCACGGTTCCCGTTGGACAGTCGACCTCGCGGCATCGTCAACTGGTATGACGCTCGCAGGTACGCAGGCGGGAGCGAGACACGACGGGAGCGTCCCCCAGCTCGGGTATCCTCAGAAGCAATTGAGGTATCCATTGAAGCAACTGAAGTATCCAGTGAGATGCGCACATAATGACGCGATAACCACTTTTCTACGTAGCGGTGAGATGCTCAGCTTCCATGACACTCCGCTGCACCGAATACATGAGGAGGTTGGTACCCAATACTGCCTCGTACACATCTGGATGACCGCAATCCAAAACCCCCAATTACAGAACACCACGTCACTCGCACATTGACGGGTGTCCACCCCCGAACCATACACTGCGCACATCATGTGGTCACAACATTGTCCACATACCTTCATTGTGTGGACACTCGTCACGGAACTGGTTCCGGTATTCGTTGAGGCCCTTACTCACTTAAACATGTAGTACACCAAGTTCACGATTGCATTACCAGCTAACGGTGTTTGTCGTTCATACTTTGCACGCACAAGACTCTTCATTCCAAATGCAACATTATCCGAAAGCTACACAAGGGTGAGCAACTACGTGCACGGACATGTTTCAACCACACATTGACTCCACACCAATTATGCAGCCATCTCTGATGTCTTCTCCTCAGCTCCAGTGTCTTCCCTCCGCTCTTCCTGGTCATTGTCCCTTGCACCTCCGCCTTGCTCGTTTGTCACTGGGGCCGTCCCCCCACTCTCAGCATTGTCGGTTGCCGCTGGGTCGTTGGTAGCTGTGTGGTCGTGGTCCACAACCCTGCGCCTCTTTGATGCACCTGTTGCACCCCCACGCTTCCTCACTCGTTTCAACCGCTGGCCCACGCTCTCCAGCGCCTCACGCCAACTCCTCCACCTCCACCACTTCCTCGCTTCCACCAGGGTCTGTAAATCTTCTTTGGTGCACCCCCGCAGCGTTGCCTTCTCTGCGGCCGACAGGCTGACGGTGTTGGGTATCCTCTCGCTAGGCCTCAGCACGAACGCACCGGCGGCGTATGCAAATGCCGCCTCCTCCTCAGTGGTGTACCCTCCCAGTCTCTGCTGCTTGCGCTTCCCACGTTCTTTAAACAAAATCTTGACGCAGTACTTGCCGGTGTTCGGATCCAGCTTCACACCCGTGTACCTGGTTGCACTTGTATCTTCGCCACCGTCCTCGTCATCTGAGTCTGACACGAGATCCTCCTCTTCGTCGGCCTTCGCCGTCTCCTGCCCAAGCCTGTCTCCCCACACGTCAGGTCCAGCTGGCACACCCGTGCCGGACAGCAGCCGCGGGCGCGTCAACATCCAGGGAGGTATGGCCCCGTTCGAGATCAGCGGGTTCTGCAGCAGGCTCGGTGTCGGCGCACATGCGGCGAACGTGGAGGCCAGCGCCACCTGGGTGAGGTTGCGCACGCCGTCCTCCTCAGGACTGCTGTCATCTCGCCTCTTCCGGGCAGACGGACGCTGGGGTGTGCGTGGCGCATGCTTGTTGCCACCCGCCTCTGTTTTCGTGCCGTTCCCCGCGACCCCTCCATGCAGCAGCAGTTGGGTTGCAGCGGACACCACCTCGTCCCGGCTCAGGCCCACGAAGTTGGCGATCACGGTGAAGCTGGCGTCCAGATACCTCACATCGTTATGCAGCGATGCTATGCGCCTCGTCATCTCCGTAAACCGAGCGTCCTCATCATGGCGAGTGTTTGGCGCCTGCCTCCCATCTCCCTCCGCAGTGTTTCTCACCTGCACCACTGTCCCCTCTGCGGTAACCAGGCCTTCGTCTTGCGGCGGGACTTCAATCCCCAGTTCCTGTAGTTGTTTCAGAAGCTCTCCGCCAGCGTGTGCACACAAGTCTCAACGCATCTCCCGCCTGTATTGGTGCGGTGTCACACCCTGGAACCAGAGGCCCGAAAACACCGTGGCGAAGTCGGTATGCACCAGGGTCTTAAGGTACTGACAAACAAAAATCCCACAGTCCTCCTTGTTCGGCTGCTGTGGCAGCTTATCCTCCTGTCATAAGGGTAACGAATACCGAAGTTATCAGTATGCACACCTGTGTATGCAACCAGCACAGCTGTGTACAGAACGAACGAGGCGTACTCACCCGTAGAATTACGCAGTCCGCCGCGCTCAGCGTCCTGTCCACAACCTCCATGTTAGCGTTTGGGTTACTCGCCTTTGCGAGTTCGGACAGCAACCTGCATACAAGAGTTCGTCCGGTATTAACAAAATTGAGCATGGACGTATATGCTATGCGCTTCGTTATGCCGAAACCCCTACTCACAGCTTCGTGCCTGCGAAAATCTTGTGGCTATTTCGATTCTTGATCGCGCTGTCCAGCAAGACCAAAGTCAGGCGCTCCTTGCCCTTGGTTCTCTGCGTCTTGGTGAGCACCGATGGGTTTATAGCGATGACGAGGGAATAGTGCTCACTGCGCGCAAGAAGATTGGGGTGAAACGGGATCGGTGTTAAACAGCAGTCGGTTGCACATCACGGAAACCAACCGGGAACACTGGTAAGATGAGTACACTCACGACTCTAGGACCGGGATCGCAAGATAATCGTGTTCCAAAAGCGGCCGCCCACTCCCCAGCGTTAACGGCACTCCATGCGCAGCTGTCGTCTGTGAATAGGCCTTGCAGTCCATGGCGGCCCATGTCTTGCCGTCGCGGAGCGACGGCTTCCTGATGCTAAGCAGCCTGCGCAGAGGTGAACACGAACAAGTTAACACACCGTGCTACAGTGAATTCGCAGAAAATCGTACAAAAGCGCGCGCATGTGCGGGGCGGTCAGCACGGTACTTACACGTTGTGAAAGTCCACCACGCCATCGGTGATCCACTGTTCGTCCTCGATCGACATGAAGTCGTCCTTGTCCACCTCACATCCGACACCGCGGTGATTCATGAGCCTGATGTTGCGGTAAGATGATTTCGCATAGTTCCGGGCGATAGCGGCCACGACATCGTCCGGCACCGGCTCTGTCGCCTTTTCCACGACATGGGTCGCGAACCTAGAAGCCCTTCCGCCGTCCTTTGTCGGCGGACACGGAGGTGATTTTTTGTCGCCCTTGGTCGACGCTCTGGTTCTGGGAACAGACGGGTCAGGATCTTGGTCATCGCCGCTGCTGCTAGTCTCCGGTTCATGGAACCGGTTGCGCTTAGAGACAGACTGTTTAGGAATCGCCATCAAGAACGGACACTGAATACCATGCGGAGGAGGCCGGCCTTAATACGAGGTGAGCACGGAGGGGATGACTGGGAGAACACAGCCACTCACGGATCTCGCCTGGAGGGAAGTACTCTGATTGACGGGTGGGCCAAGATGTCGCCTATAACCTGGTGGGTGTTGGGCATGCATAGGCGAAATGGTATACACCGTTGGATGAGATGCGCATGCGATGTCCACCTGTGACTCGATAACGAGACTGGATGTGATGGTGAGGCAGCATGCATATCCACGTGTTGTAAACCAAGGGGTTCGGAACACGAGGATGCGAGATTTAGGGTGGGTCAGCAATTCTGGTGCATGGAACACCATTTGGTTTTCCGGTACAATCCAAGTGACGCGGAATCCGATAACGGCGTACGCGGACGTCAGCACTTGGGTTGTTGGGCCACCAGCGCGCACTAAGTATGGGTTGTACACGATGTAGTCGTGTACTCTTAAAAGCGGAAGTAAAATTTGTAGGTTGTCGTAAACAATATTGCAATATGCATAACGGGTATATTACTTACATAAGAAATAAGACACAACGTCTTATGGAGCCAACTGTGTACAATCCCACAACGTCAGTTATTGGCTATTTCTATTTCTGGTCGTACTAATGACCGCGCTGATAATTCCGGGGAGTGTTATTTACCGGACCACCGTTACACATTCTGCAATTATAATATGGTTGTGCATTATGGTTGGGTGTATAATGTTTACCGGTGACAATCGAACAGATGGTATGTGCACACTTTTCAAGGTTCTGTGCACATGAGTGTGCACCATGTTGATCCTCTGAGTTGTGTTAGAGCACACCTGTGGCCAGTCCGAGTTTCTATCGCCACGGTCTCTAGGGTTTCAAGGTTGCAGGATGACGGGGAACAGTTGCATGGTGTGCGAGACGGTGTTTAAGGACGACAGCCGGTTACAGTCACATGTCGCTAACGGTGCAATTTGTCGCGCAGAGTTGAAGAGGAAACGGGAGAGTCTTTTGTTGGCGGCATATTTGGAAGCAATTGCCCGTGACGGAGAGAGTAGACCAAACACACCGCCCGCATCGCGGCTTAAGGATAATGACGGCAGTGTTGTATCGGTTGCTCCGACCGCCTCTATTCCCGAAGTTAGCCTCGTTAGCGTCGCGGATACACCAGCTGACGGCGAGAATGCGGAGTCATCGGAACACAGCGAGAGGGCGGAGATTTTCGACACACTGACCGAGTTGTATCTATTCTTCCGTGACGCCGATCTTTCGCACCGGGAAGTTAACCGTCTGTTACACATTTTCCGCAACCTGCGCTTCAACTTACGGGCCCTCCGACGATGGCGCAACTGGGTGGACGTGCGCCGATGGGGAATGGCGCGCGCTCCACCAGACATGGTCCCGTGGAAAACGGAGGAGATAGTGGTGCGGGGCCCCAAAGGAATGCAAATGAAGCTGCTACTGCACTACCGCGACACAGAGCTGGTTCGTAAACGGCGGCCACACCCGCATCCCCCGTCGTCGTCACTGGGAAGGAATCTTGCCGCTCACTCCTGATTATATCCCGATGCGCGCAGATTCTGAAGAAGCTGGTGCGGACGTTCTCATCCAAGAAAGGGTTCGTGTGGAAACCTAAGAAGATTCATCGGAAGAAGAATGGCGAGAGGGTATTCGAGGGGCCGGAGACGGGCGATTGGATGCACGCTGCTCAGGTAAGTGCATCGGTAGGCCAGTCCACATTACATGTGAGTCCCAGAATGCTATAAGACGGAGTCTAACATTTGTGCAAGGGCATGTATGGTTGGCATGGCAGAAGGAGATTAATGACAGTGAGGCACTCATACTAGGCGTGCTGATATACAGTGATAGCACCCAGGCATCACGGAATGGTCGGAGGAACGCGTGGCCGGTGCTGATCTCGCTTGTCAACATACCAGCGGAATTACGTGGGGTGGAGCCTGGGCACACGTTGGCGGCGGTGCTGCCATTCCCACCCGAATGGGCATCGCCCACGGAGAAGACGCGGGTTTTCCAGGAGGCATTGAAGATCATCCTCGCGCCCATCATGCGAGAATCTGCAAGGTACTGAGGTGCATATGCTACACGAGCAGCAGGCCAGTGGGGACCCCAGCAGATATTGCCCCGTGTTATGACCGCGTATTGTGTGTACGTTCCTAACCTAACTCACGGCCACGTGTGCATCGTCACAATGTGCAGCGGGCCAGTTCGCTTCTTCTACTGCACGGACGCGGACGGGAAGGTGCACAAAGCGGTCCCTTGCCTGTACGGATACCCTGCCGACTTTCCGGAGACCAGCAGAGCTTCTGCGACTCTTCAGCAGGGGACGCACCGGCCGTGCGCTAACTGCTATGCAGACAAGGGGGAGTTGACCATGATGGTGGGGAAGGCCGATCCGCGTACCCCCGAGATGCAGAGGGACATTGTCCGCCAGATCCTGGCGTGTAAGAAGAAGGGCGACGCTGACGCCGTGCGGAGGCTATGGTCAACACATCCGATCGAGGTGGGCTAAACCCTGAGGGCGTTTGCGTGCCTGTAGTGTACGGTGGAACCTAATGACGCGGTCGTGTCTTTGGTTGGACATTGCAGTGCGTACTTCACAGGTGGAATTTCGCGGACACAGAGTGGGGCAACGTGTATCTGGCATGCCTTGCAGACACACTGCATGTTCTGGACTCCGGTGTGCTGATCCACATGATGGACACCTACATCGAACCGCTTGGGAAGGTTGAGATGCGGACGCTTGAACGGTGAGCAGACTGTAGCCTGCATGTCATATCCTGGTGGGGTCATTTGGGTTGTAGTACACCATGTGTGCAGCGCTGATGGGCACGTCGAATACTTGGTGTGCGCAGACGCAAGAAGGAGTTTAAGGCCATCACGCCTAGCGTGCTCCTCCGAATCCCAGGGGGCTCATCGTTCTTCAGTTCCGGCGCAAACTACGCTGCGTTCGAGCACAGGAGCATGATGCAGATAATGCCGATCTTGGTGGCTGACGAGAGCGCGTTGAAGGGTGATGAACCGGGAGAGCTGCGCGCGTTGCAGGTCAAAGCGTTCAGGCTGTTTGCTGTGTTTTACAAGGCGTTTCTGGGTGTGGACCGGCACACACATACCACCATTGCGATTGCACGGCAGCATGCGATAGCGTAAGTGTGTGCATTAGGTGCATCGAGCGATGCGGTGGGTTTGTTGTGGCGGCCGTCGGGTGGCACACGAGTGTGCATTGACTGTTGCCTGCCATCGTGGACGATGTGGCAGGTTGGTGGCGTTGCTCCCGAGAGCATTTCCAAAGCAGGCATCCCACTGGAGACTACCAAAGATACACATGATAAGACATTTACTGGACAACGTGGTGGAGCGCGGGATGCCGCACCATTATTCCACTGAGATGTGGGAGCGCACGCACAAGGGCACGGTCAAGGGTCCAGTTAGAGGGAGCAACTGGAGCGACATTCCGCGCCGAATCGTGGAGGAGGAGGTGCAGAGAGAGGTGTACCGTGAGGTGGCTGCAGACGCCGGCGGTGGGCGGCAGTATGCGTCTGCATTGCGCGAGGTGCGTAGGGGAGTGGTTGGTGCTACGATGGCCATTCAATGTGTAATGTTGCACGGGTGCCCATGTACGAGCGGAGCCTGAGGCAGGTTGCGGCTTGTTGTGGGAACGTGGTTGTACACGTGCAGGCAATCAAGACGAGGAAACCGGTGCTTACAAAGAAGTATCGGATCATGCGCATAGGCGGGGCATCGGATCCGGTGTACGATGAGTACACAGCCGCGCTTGGAGACGAGATGAAGGGGATGGCCGCGGAGTTTAAGGCGTTGGACCTGGCTACCAACAACGTGCAGGTGTGGTGATAATGCTGTCGCACATACATCTCGTCTTAGCGGGCTTGCACGTTGGTTGCCACTGCACTGATGATGCTAAGAGATGTTGGATTGTACACAACCGCGTGACAGGTCCACACCGCGGTGGCCATTCCGCGCACAAGAGGCGGCGAGCTGGTGGCCAAAGGGACGTTTGTGAAGGCATCTCCACGAGAGAGGTGGTACTCGAACGTGGCACTTCTGAACAACAAGAAGGGGGACTGGTATGCAAGATGTCTGTGCATCTTCAGGGCGCTTGACCGTGATGGGGAGTGGAAGGGATACGCATACGTGAGGTACTACGAGAGGGCGGGAAGCTGCAAGCTTACAGGGTGCACGCAGCTGCACAAGAAAGTGGAGAAGGTGAGGTATTCGGTGGTGGAGCTGGGCAGCCTGCAGAGAGTTGTGCACGTGTGCCCGTCGTACAGCAACAACAAGGTGCAATTAGTTAACAGGTTTTTGCTATGTGAGTGACGGCACGTGTTGGTATGGTGGAACTTAGGAATGATGGGTACAGGATTGCAGGGAGTGTAGTCAACTGTGGTGGGATGTTTATACTTTGGGTGGTTCAGGTTAGTGTTGACGCTGATGTGTCGCCACATATTGTGATGAATAAATGTGATATGGTGTCCGTGGGTGTACATTGGCATTTTGTGCATGGGTACGCGGTGGCAACCCTAAACCCGAAACGTATATGTTGGTGTTTAAACAGTGAGATTATAGTGGTAGCGGTCAGTAAACCCGGCCTATAACGGGTCTTGGTACGGTTGACGCTTGTGCGGTCGAAGTTGACGCGCTTCAATGTGTGGTGGTGTGACCGACCGAACACCCGCCGTTGGTTGGTCGGATACGGGTGACGCGTACGTGGCTTCGATTCGCGAGGTGGCCTATCTGAATGTCACAGGTGGCCGTTTCACATGTGTCCGTTATCTTGGAGCGGCGCAGGAGTTGTGCTCGCAAACTTGTGTGGCGCTTGTCAACCCTCGTACGTAGTGTGCGTACGAGGGCAAACCGGGGTACGTTCCAGTGAACTACAACGTATATAGCAAGACTGGGTGCCATCCCCCAACGCATACTTGCCCACCTGGGTGACACACAGCTTCAATGGGTGACCTGAAGGGACTGCTGGCTACTGCGCACCCGGACGATGTGTTCTGCTTCCACGAGATTAATTTTCTTCCGAGCCGCCTCCCGAAGACATACATTCCAGACAAGCGTAATGTTTGCGAGCGGATTGTCAGCATCGGCATTCTTTACAACGCGACGGGCAGTTGTTCCGCGGTGCCACTGGTGGTCCTATCGCCGTACGATAGGCCCGAGCGCAGGCGGGGGCGCGCGGCATCGCGCATGGTGGCAGTCCGATATACGCACCGCGGCCGGTTGACTCCGGAGGTAGGTGACAATTACACCTCGCTGTGCACCATGTCTGTGTCATGTTTGCAACGTACATGTGTGGGCCGACACACTGATGGTGTTGTGCTGTCGGTGTATGATGCTATGCTCGCAGGTGTTCACGGAGTTTGTGGAGACTGTCAACGGTGTGCACTTTAGTCGTGATCGCAACACACTCATCCTAACCATACACGAGGCGCATCGCATCACCGACGAGGTCGCGCGCCCCGTCTCGGAGCACGGCTTCAGTGTGCAGCACCTCACCAACACCCGTGTCGTCAACATACGTGGCTCGGTTCCCGAAGGGGGCCTTCCGCACCTGCAGGGAGTGGAGGACGCGCTGAAGGCCCATTACCGCGTTATGCTGATGAAGCGGGCGATCGCGGCGAAACGGTTCCAGTTCGACTATGCCGCTTCTATCGCCGACGTGGACTACGGACTCATGCTGGAGTGGCTGGGGGAATCGTGGACCCGTGTGCGCGCTGCAACCATGCAGAGGAGCTGGTGGCGCGCCGGATGCGTGCCGCCGAGCTGGCCGCCGCTGATGGCGTACCTGAACGACACCAGCGCGACGGGCATGTTTGAGCCGCTCATTGCGACTTGCGTCGAGCTGCAGTTGCTCATCGAGAAGTTTAAGATGAGGCCTGCGTGCTACATGACGGCGGCGGAGTTCGTCAACTGCGACGCGGGGCTCTGCGTGGAGCAGGGGTTCGTTGCCACACCTGCTGCAAGCGCGTCGGATGACTCGTCGGGCGAGATGAGCCTGCCAGACGGCCCGCTGCTGCGGGACGAGCGCAGCAGGCGGCGCGTCATTCGCAACGTCACAAACGCGTACGTGGAGCGTGCCGATGAGCTCGGCATTCCCCCGGCCCTCGTGCCAGCAGAGGTCGGCGCATCTAACCAGGAGGTGATTTCCCGCCTCGGCAGGACGCCAGTTAAGCGTGCGCGAGCGGGGCTGCGCACGGAGGACATGGCAGGCCCTTCGGAGCGCAAGGACGAGGACGACGAGTGATGCAGTTGGTTGAAGTTGTGCGGTGTGTGCGTTGTGCGTGGTGTGCGTAGTTGGCGTTGTGTGTGTGCGGTACCGTACGCCTGTGGATGACGGGGTTGGGGTTGTATTGCTGTTGTAATAGTGCTTGGAGGATTTTAATGAAAATGGATGAGTTGGGGAACCTTGTGAGACATTTGACGGTACGCGTGAACTTCGTTTACGGTCCGATGTTATAAGTTGACACAATGGACGCACCGCGGTCACCATAACGCGGGAATTTCATCGGGAAATTTGTGCACACGTTCGCGACTCGGGGTGTAGGTGTGCGCTCCGGGAATTCGATAGCTTTGCGACAAGGAAACTGTAATGTCAGTTTTTTGTGTCTGATGTACGCGCGCGTTTCCGGTGTTCAGAATGTTGCGATTTGCGTGCGTTGTTTTACCGCAGCTTTCCGCAACATTCACGCAAGGCAGAGGCAGAAAAACCTTCGGGGGCCAAAAAACGCAGTTTTCCTTTTTCGCGATGGAGGGGAGGGAAGAGAAGAGGAACGACGCGAGGGGAGGTAATAATTTACGAAAGGCGGGACGGAGGGTGACGGGAGTGCGTTGGGAACGCGATCGCGATGAGACGCGAGGGCAGCGGGAGGAGAGAGAAGAAGGGCGACGGGAGAGGAAGGGCGACGGGAGACAGGAAGGGCAGCGAGAGAGAGGAAGGGCGACGGGATAGCGAACTGGCGACGGGATAGCGAACTGGCGACGGGAGTGAGGAAGGGCAACGAGAGAGGACGGGTTGTGGGAGAGGAATGGCGACGGGATGTGTGAGGAGATCGCGAGGGCGATTGCGACGATAGGGGCGACGGGTGGGCGATTTGAGGTGCGCATGACGGCGACGAAGTGGGTGATAAGAGGGGGAGGAAGGGCGATTCAATATGAGGGCGAACAGGCGACGGAGGGAGAGCGCGAAGGCTATGGGAGGGAGAGTGCGAAGGCGACGGGAGGGAAGGGCGGACAGGCGACGGGAGGGAGAGCGCGAAGGCGACGGGAGGGAAGGGCGGACAGGCGACGGGAGGGAGAGCGCGAAGGCGACGGGAGGGAGAGCGGACAGGCGACGGGAGGGAGAGCGTACAGGCGACGGGAGGGAGAGCGGGCAGGCGACAGGAGGGAGAGTGCGAAGGCGACGGGAGGGAGAGCGCGAAGGCGACGGGAGGGGAGCGGACAGGCGACGGGACCGTGAGCGGACAGGTGACGGGAAGGAGAGCAGACATGCGACGGGACAGTGAGCGCGAAGGCGACAGGAGGGAGAGCGCGAAGGCGAGAGGAAGAGAGGGCGGCGGGAGGGGAGGGGAGAGCAAGGGCGACGGGAGGGAGGGGAGAAAGAGAGGTCGACGGGGGAAAAGGAGAGAGAGGCGCGAAGATAACGGGAGGGGAGTGGACAGAGGACGAGCGACTGGAGGGTAGGGGAGATGGTGAAGGCGCGAGACAAGAAACTAACACCGCGCTTCTAGGCCACGTGTTAATACATCATGTGCTCGTGGTATCGTAAGTCGACGCACTCGTTAGTAATACCGAGCCTTTGACAGAAACGCTTATGCTCTCAGCTCTGGTTCTTACATCACAAAAAACCGGGCCTGAAAACAGGTGGTTTAGGCTAGGATTTCTGTTCAACCAACGGAAATCCGTCGGACAACTCTCAACTTGTTCCGACGGATTTCCAACGAGTGGCGCACTGGTATTGTCACTAAATTTTCCGTCGGTTTTCCATCTCGGAGAGACTTCATGATTTCCGATGAAAAGCAGACACAGTTTCCGGCGGATTTCCATCACAATCGCGCTTCGGTCGAAACGAGATTCCCCAACAAAAATTTAGATAAATGAATGAACTGTAGACTCAGTACACTGCGTTCTTTCTAATCATGTTTCGTTTATATTTTTTATTAATGATTTCGGCAATAAAACCGACGATATAATATTTATCATAAAGATGATTTACATATGTTTTTAATTGCTCATAATTCTATTACACGACACGGTATTGCTAAGTGATTGTTGTACGAATCGTATAAAAACGTTGCAGAACATACAAAACTCAATAAATGATACAGAAGCATGACATCATGTGCCTAAACAAAATGTGGTGCCAAAACATTAAAAAAAAAAAAAAAAAAAAAAAAAAAATCTTGGCTGCCGCTGCAGCTGCTGCAACTGCTGCAACTGCTGCTGCTGCTGCTGCTGCTGCTGCTGCTGCTGCTGCTGCTGCTGCTGCTGCTGCTGCTGCTGCTGCTGCTGCTGCTGCTGCTGCTGCTGCTGCAACTGCTGTTGCTGCTGCTGCTGCTGCTGCTGCTGCTGCAACTGCTGCTGCTATTGCTGCTGCTGCTGCAACTGCTGCTGCTATTGCTGCTCCTGCTGCAACTGCTGCTGCTGCTGCTGCTGCTGCAACTGCTGCAGCTGCTGCTCCTGCTGCTGCTGCTGCTGCTGCTGTTGCTGCAACTGCTGCTGCTGCTGCTGTTGCTGCAACTGCTGCTGCTGCTGCTGCTGATGCTGCTGATCCTGCTGCAACTGCTGCTGCTGCTGATGATCCTGCTGCAACTGCTGCTGCTGCTGCTGATCCTGCTGCAACTGCTGCTGCTGCTGCTGATCCTGTTGCAACTGCTGCTGCTGCTGCTACTGATCCTGCTGCAGCAGCTGCTGCTGCTGCTGCTGATCCTGCTGCAACTGCTGCTCCTGCTGCTGCTGCTGCTGCTGCTGCTGCTGCTGCTGCTGCTGCTGCTGCTCCGGCTGCTGCTTCTCCTGCTGCTGCTGCTGCTGCTGCTGCTGGTGCTGCTCCTGCTGCTGCTGCTCCTGCTGCTGCTGCTGCAACTGCTGCTGCTGCTGCTGCTCCTGGTGCTACTGCTGCTCCAGTCCAGGACGCAGCCACACTTACTGTTGCTGCAGAAGGAACGGAATGGCGTAGTTAGTAGAAAAACAAAACAGGTCACGTAAATACGTACGTGCAATGGCGTCGAAGAATTTGACTTTCGAGATCGAAAAAAGCTTGACGTGGTGGTCTGCAAAATCAAACACAAAGGACGTTGGTTGGTAAAGAGGGAACGAAATGAAAACTAAATAAAATGCGAACGACTTTCCATAATTTTCTGGTTGATAACACGAAAAATGACTATCAAGCCGGACGTGTTCCTCAACTTTTCCGCATTAATCTGCATCGGAGAAAACGCAACGCAAAAGAGGTCATTACGAGCACTACCAGAAATGAATGACATAACACAAACACAAAACCAAGTAGCACTAACGGCTGCGTACCTGATAATAGACATAGTGACTGGTGGAAACAGTGGATTAGGCAGGAGTCGCGAAGTCGAGGGCGGCTGAAACCGAGGAAAACGTAGAAGGGGCAGTAAGGGAGGTAATACTAAGTCGATGCCAAGTGAACGGGGAAGAGAGGAGAGAGGTATGGGACGCGAGGTGAGGGTGAAGGGATGATGGGCTAGAGTGGCTGTTGATTCTGCTGGGTGGGTAGGGGGAAGAAGGTCCCACAGCGCTGGAGATCGCGGGTGCGCTGGAGGCTTTTCCAGCGTTGGAGGGCGCGCAGGTGGCGCTTGCAGCACTTGCGCTGATGGCAGTCGCAGCAGCTGCGCAGTTGGCAGTTGCAGCAGCTGCGCAGTTGGCAGTTGTACAAATGCGCAGATGCAGTGCACCAGCGCAGCTGCGAATTTGCAGCAACTTGCGCAGCTGCTGTATAGCAATCGCGCAGCTGCACGTAGACTGTAATCAAGCGCAAGTGCGCATGATGTACAGTTCAGCACCACGATGCCCAGTAAGCGACGACGAGAAAGGACCAATTACAACGATACAACTCGCCAACAAGGTGTGTGATGTAGATATCCACCAATTGTCGAACAAATCTACGATGACGTGTTCGCTAGAATATGCTGGAATGACCAATGTGGTGGCCTGTCTTACCTCACCATCCCAAATAGTTTACAATAAATGCGAAACTATATAACACTCGGTACTATACCGTGCGTAATAAAGATCCAACCTATTGTTCCCACAAAGTATCACAAACTGTAACAAATATATGTCGTTTTAGCCTTGTGAAACTTATTTCAGCCATAACTTCAGTAAATTTTCAAATACATAGTTGCTGTTGTATTTTAAGCATTCCAGACTGAAATAGTGTCATGCTCTTTCATAGTATGGATACATGGAGTGACAAAATTAGAAGAAAAGAAGAGGGGCTTGACTAGCAAGAATGGGGATACAAATAGCAAACCCTAACAGGGTTGTACTCGCTATAGAGCATCCCACTACAGGCTAGATAAGAACATTCTGACATGGAGAATTTAGACAATAACATTGATTGTGTAACGTAAATGTCTCTATATATATGTCTTTCCTCTTAAAAAATAATTTGCTGAGATAATCGTTGCAATAGATTGCCACATAATGTTGATTGGCGAATAACAAATTTCCGTCAACAAGAGTATGATGTACTTGTCCCACATGTCGTTTTTCGCCAAACCGCAGTTTATGTCATTCCAAGTAGAGAGAGAGAGGGGGAGAGAGGGAGATATATATATATATATAGATATATATATATATAGAGAGAGAGAGAGAGGGGGGGGGGGGAGAGAGAGAGAGAGAGCGTTAGAGAGAGAGAGAGTGTGTGTGTGTGAGAAAGAGAGTGTGAGAAAGAGAGAGAGTTGTACTGGTACTAATCTCTATGATCCAAGATCCCCTTATTCTAATTCCCGTCAATTATCACAAATACTGACGAAAATATAGTGTTATATACTTGTGCGCCCGGTTTAAGCCAGATCCTATACAAATTTCACTGTGATTGCTACTAGTATGCTCTTAACATTTGAAATAAACATACGTCGCAACAACACCTCGTGTCGCAGAGACATGTGTGAAACAAAATGAGAAGAGGAATGAAAATGACTAAGTCAGAAATTGGTACAAATAACAAACCCTAGGAATCTGTACCCCATATGTGCTACCCCACTACAGCCTACAAACATGTATCAGCTATAATGTTCTGACACACCCCCATAGGCAAAGTGGGGGAGAACAAGGGGTCACAAGACCAGTCAAGCAAAGCAAAGCAAGCTCAGGGTGGATCACAAAGTCACCAAACAGTCCGAGCACAAGAGCAGGGCCAGAGGCCAGTTCACATGCAGGAGTACAGACATATATATATTACTAGACAAGCAAGAGCAGGTATATATATAGATCACAGTACAAGTGAAGTCAGGAAGAGAGCAAGTGAGGCAAGACAGGCACAAGACCCAGCTGGGTACAGAAGCGCTGATGGTCACAAGGCGCGAGTGCCTTGGTGAACACATCAGCAGTGTTGGCCTCAGAGGCCACGTACGCAAGTCGCAGCTGACCACGCTGCTGCAGCTCACGAGCAAGGAAGTAGCGGAGAGCAATGTGCTTCGTTCTGTGCTCCAGACGCTGCTCTCGACACAAGGCCAGCATGGCCTTGTTGTCTACGTACAGCACTGGAGGAGAACGAGGCGGCTCTCCAAGGTCAGTCAGCAGGTAGGTGAGCCAGCGAAGCTCCTGTGCAGCCATGGCCCCGGCGTAGATCTCAGCCTCACAACTGGAGCCGAGAACCGAAGACGAGCGAGTAGACCGCCACGAGACAGAGCCGGAACCAAGGCTGAAGGTGTAACCCTGTGACGACCGCTGCGTAGCCTGGTCGTCAGCCCAAGAAGCGTCCGCGTGGCCCGTAAGGACCACTGGACTCCGCCCTCCAAGCACTAGCCCCATGCCCGACGTACTGCACAGGTAGCGCAATACCCTCTTCGCTGCAGCCATGTGCTCAGGTCGGTGTCTCCCAGGAGCAACATAGCGTGCAAGAATGCTCAGAGGGTATGCAAGGTCAGGTCGTGTGCAGGTCATCAGGTACATGAGGCAGCCAACAAGCTCTGCATACGGGCCACTCGACTCTACGGACTCATCCGAAGGCAGAGCTGAGAGCGAGTGGCGAGTAGGCAGAGGAGTGGCCTGAGGCGAGGAGTACGTGAAGCCGAAGCGCTGAAGGACCTGCTGCACCATGTGTGACTGAGTCAGGGTAATGGTGCGGCGTGCTCTGTCCCGAGTGATCTGCAAGCCAAGGTAGCTGCGCAGTTCACCCAGGTCTGTGCACGTGTGTCTCTTCAGCAGCTCAGACTTCACGTAGGCGAGTCCAGCAGTGTCCGCTGTGGCAAAGACCAAGTCGTCGACGTACACGAGGATGTAGAACGGCGGCAAGGAAGTGTCGGTGCGAAGAAACAGCGACGGGTCAGCAGTGGAAGGAGCAAACCCAAGAGCCGCAAGCGTAGTCCTCAGTGTGTCGTGCCACTCACGCGGTGCCTGGCGGAGACCGTAGACTGGCCGTCGGAGGCTCCACTGGGTGCCAGGAGGGAAAGTCCCAGTGAAGCCAGGCGGACGGCGCAGCCAGATCTCCTCGTGCAGGCTACCCTGCAGGAACGCAGTGCTGAAGTCGAGAGAGTGAAGCTCGTAGTCGCGCTGAGCGGCAACGTGCAGCAGCACCCGAAGAGTAGTCATCTTCGGGGTGGGAGAGAAGGTCTGAAAGTAGTCAACTCCCTGCCGCTGACTGAAGCCACGAGCGACGTAACGCGCCTTGAAGACAGGCGGAGAGCCCGGCGGCCGCTTCACCCTGAAGATCCACATGCCACTGACGATGTTCGCCCCAGGAGGGGGAACTGCGTCAACGTAGGTGCCTGTGGACTTCCAGGAAGCCATCTCTGCATCCATAGCTGCCTGCCACTGAGAGGAGTAGGGACCCTCTACAGCCTCCGCGTAAGAACGCG